TTCTTTTTTTAAATATCGTATTAAAGTGAATATTTTGGGACATTGAAGGACTTTAATGTTATGCATACACTGTGAGTTGCAGCTCTAGTGGAAGTCTTCAAAGCTCCAGGTAGAGTCTTTATTGAATGCATCAGCCTTTTGTACCAACAGCCTCTCATGTTGAACACTCCACTTCATTAAGGGTTAATTAAACCTTCAGTATTTCCCCAAAAGGCACCGTCGAGACGTTACAGATTTACAAACCTCTCCAACATGCAAACAGCTGGGAAAAGTCCACGTGAAAAAGAAAAAAGTGAACGATATATAAATCTGCTGATTTCTGAATGAAGCCCCTCCTCCTGATTCTTCAGTAACTTGGACTCCACGTCTTTAGTGAATATTTTGGGATTTCAAATGGACATTTTTCACTGTTTTCTGACATTTTATTAATATATGGAAGTCTTCAAAGGTCCAGGTAGTGTGTACTTATTTAATGCATCAGCCTTTTGTTCCAACAGCCTCTCACCTTGAGCACTTCACTTCATTAAGGGTCAATTCAACCTTCCAGATTTCCCCAAACAAAACAACCAAAACGTTCCATCAAGACGTCACAGATTCACCATCATGCAAAACAAGAATAAACAATATATAAATCAGCTGATTTCTGAATACAGTCCCTCTTCCTGATCTCAGTTTTCTACGACAGCTGTTTCATATCGTACATCGGCACCTCTTCCTCCGCCTCCTCCTCGTTCTCCTTCACTGCTTTTCCCTTCCTTCCTTTGGGCGGCAACACAGGAGCTGCCTTCTGATTGGTCGCCTCATTAGTCTCCTCCTTGGCTCCTTCCATGGCTCCTTCTTGGCCTTCTGCCACCGTTCTTTCCTTCTTCAACTTGGCAGGAACACTTTTGCTGATTGTCTCCTTCAGGCGTTCTCCAGATTGTCGGATTTTCTGGCGTCGTTCGGCCGTCACGATTCTTTCTCCCAGTTTGTTGACTTTGCTCCCGAGGTTCTCCCGGGTCTTGCTCATGTTAGCTTTGAAGCTCTCGATGCGAGTGAGACCGGATTTCTTAATTTTGGCCGCGGAGGATTCGGCCATTTCTTCTTCTACGACCATGTACTCCTCGTCAGACTCTGGAGGGAATTCGAATTTATCCGGTTCCACGTCTGCGGCTCTGGGGGCGGAGCCTGAAGGTTCTGCCGGTTCGATGCCCGGAGCCACCGTCTTCACTTCCTGTTCGCCCTGCAGGGGGAGACAGAGAGACGTGTGAGCAGGCTTTTTTATTACAGATCTTTTTATTTTTGTTTTATTCGTTAAACATATTAGATTTTACAACTTTTTTTATATAAATATTTAGAATTTATATTACAATTTCTTTATCTGTATTTTATTTGTTAAAAACATTTATTTATTTTACAGTTTTCACAACTTTTTTATACATTTTTATTTCCAAATATTATGAGTTTTATTTTTTATTATTCTTTTTCAAATATATTTAGAATTTTATTTCCAAATATTTATTTTATTTTATTCTTACATACTCAATACTGTGGACAATCCCCACAGGAGCACTTTGGGGTGAAGTGTCTCAGGGACACAACGACATGCTGACTGCAGTGGGGTTTGAACCTGAGACCCCCTTCTCCCAACACCAACACACAACCCACTGCGCCACACGCCTCCCCAAACATTCCCATTATCTACTCCAGACATTATAACTTTTTAAAGCTCACCTGTCATGCTATTTTTAGGCAATAGCATAGGACTCAGATACAAATATATAAAAACATGTCTATGATGTGTTTTGCTCCAAACACCAAACAGATCACCCATTCTAGCCATGCCTCATATCCCTCTATTTCACTTCCTGTTTCTAAAGTGCTGATTTGGGTATAAAGCTTTAAAGAGGAGGGGTCTCTGAGCTCATGCGGGACCCGGCAGCTATGAAACTCCATATCATGGATGATCAAGGATTCTCTCTGAAACAGTATGGAGCTCAAAGGCTTTCTCTCTTGCCGGTTATACCACAAGGTGAGTTCCTTTTTACTTCCTGCTTCTTCACACACATGCTCTCCAGTACAGGTTAGCTCTGAGTGTTAGCGATGCTAATGTAAACACCGTCCAAAACAGTCGGGCATTGTTTCTGATAGCAACGTTTCTGATTGGGCTGTGGGTCCACATTTCAGATATTACGTCATATCGGACGCAAATCTGGATCAGCTCCGTTGATGTAGAAAAGATATCAAAAAGTGCATTTTGCATGATAGGTCCCCTTCAAGTGAAATGATCACTCCAGTCAAAGCCCTTTTTGTCCTAATTTGTAGTTTAAAGCAGAGTAATACAACAGTGTATAAGCTCACAGTAATGCTAGAGGAGCTAACTGCTGCCAGGAAATATCTTCCATTAATGCTATTTATACATTTATGTCAAACTACATGAGATCTCTACACCTTGCTTTAGATACTTAAAACACTTCTCGTTGTTCTTCTCGTCAGAACGTTGAATTGTTCAGGTTTATTTCTGTCTGCGGTTTAAAGTGTGTCGTGCACTTCTGATCTCGCTCCATAAATAAACTTCTGCACCTGTTTCTCTGCAGCTCAACGGGAGCTAAACTTATCAGCGGCGTAAAAAACTGGATCGTTTTCAGGACACGTCATGCATCGAGTCTGAAGAGTCACGTTACAGTGAGAGGTGTGTGTGTGTGTGTGTGTGTGTGTGTGTGTGTGTGTGTGTGTGTGTGTGTGTGTGTG